TGCCTGGCACATCGTAGATGCTTAATATTCTTGAATAATGAATAATGAATTCTGCTGAATCAATTCATTTAAGCTATTTAGATACATTTCATATATCTTGTTCTCAAAGTATTTCCTCCAATGTACATATTCAATAAAACTGTACATACATATTTGTTTATAATTCCAATTAAATCTCCAAGTAACTGAGACTTATTGGTGAACTCTTTCTGATCTCCCTGCCACTCCTCAGACAACAGTAACATGTAGTCCTGTTTATATATGTGCTTTTTCTTCCCTGAATTAAGTTACTAGATTCTTTGTCAAATATAGCTCAATTCTTCAATAACATTTGCCACAAATTACTATCACAGTAAATAGAGTAGATATTTGAAAATAGTTATTTCCATCAACCTTTATTGTATGTTTGTGTGTGGACATACACACACATACACACACATGTATACTGAGTATATATATATATATATTTAAGTATATAATGTGTTTATATGTATATAAATATGTGAAATTTGCATATACAATACATATTTCCCTCAATACAGAGAGAAAATAAACAGAAGGTTCAGGCAGGAAGATTTTTAAACAAGTGAGTGACAAAATGCTAAGCACTTTATAATTGAGTGTGTGCAAGTTGTGACAGCTGTCTAAAGGACAGAGCGCTCAATGTTATTGGAGAAAGATGATGGAAAGGCTTCTCACTGGAGGTGCAAGGAAGTCATTCAAAAGATAATAGGATGGGCTCTTCCAATCAGCAGTGCAGTTAACAGGCTCAAACTTAGGCTTCCAAAAATTAAACTGGTAGTAACGCAAAGATCTGTTTGGTAGAAAACAGCCCAAGACAGATAAGGAAGCTATGAAAATTCAGAACCCAGAACTGAACTGTGGCGATAAAGAGAAAACTAGGTGATAGAAATATTATAAAGACAGAAGTTCCAGTATTTCAATGAGAGGACAGGATCAGATTCTGTGTTGGTTGCTAGATTGATGACAGTATCATTTTTCAAGTTTGTAGTATAGGAAGAAGAGCAGACTTTGGAATAAAAGTAGCATCTTTTACAAATTGATAAAGTACTGAACAGGAGATAGCTAGTAGGAAAATTAAAACTACTAATGTGTCAGGAGACACTTTTTCACAGATGATGTCGATTTGAAAATCATCACATAATGCTAATTAGGGATGTAATCCAGGTTTATCATGTGAGTTAGAAGAAAATGAATGAAATACAGGATACTGCAAACTCATGACATTCAAGGAGACAGAGAAGAATAATCTGGTGAGAACAATGCAGCTCAGTAATTCTAGTGGATTTCCTACCAACATAATTATTATTCATAAGTAGACAGAGAACCAGAAAAGAGAGGAAAGCTACAGACACATTTGAGAGCAGAAAGGGTTGATCAACTTGACAAATTCAATATAGAGGAGTATGATGAGAATTAGAATTAGTCATTTGGGTCTAGCACTTAGGAGATCACTGGTGACTCCTGGTAGGGCATTTTCACACTGTAAGCCAGGAAGCTTCTTTCAGTAAATTTGGGTGGCCAAGGTGGGACAAGATGCAGTGAGAGTTGGCTGCTCTCAGAAGACAGCTCCCAACCGATAGTGTTCTACCACCAGTTGTACAGCTGAATCAGTCTTCAACCTTTTCCCTTGGTGGTCTCTGTTATCTGTAAGATGAGGCAATAGAAGAGAGACACTTTCTTTTTCTCTTCCATCTCCATAATTTATTGACATACTGAGCAATTGAGTGGATAGGTAGGCGACTTATTGAGGGAATGAGAAGTCCTTGACTACTAAAATCATTGGAAACCAATTAAATTAAAAACTAAATTAGCTATGTGTTAGCATACTTTTCAGATTACCCATTCATTCAAGACCAATGAGCAAATGATAACCCAGCATTTCCCAAAATCTGTTCTAAGAATATTATCTTGATGGAGTGTAATTGGTGTTAGTTAAGAATTTTGAGGAATGGTTTGTGGTGAAACAGATTTAGAAAATGATTTATATTCAAGTAAAGTGTTATACTCCAGAACTTCTTTATTTACATACTAATATGCATTATGATTTTCAAACATTTCTTGACCAAAAACTATTTTTTCTTTTGTTTTACTTTGTTTTAACTCACAGCATTTCTGAGAACTGGCATTCTGATAAATGTACATTAATAAACACTAATCTAAACAAAGAGGGAAATAGTGCTGATAAAACTATCCCCAAATGACATATCAATTAGAATATGACCTGTTCATTGTACATGCTCTGCATTATAGTCCTCAAAAGTCTCATTGTTCCTGGATTGGCAGTGCTATGAATGCATGGCTTTGTTAACACAGCAAGCTGAGAGTAGTAGTTACAGATTAGCACCTCTGTGACTGAATGATTCCATTCTACATTGGATCACAGCCCAATCCTGGATCCAGCAGCTGAATTTTCTCACATTGGTAGAGTGATTTCTTCCACAGACTCATATATAAACTAATGTATATGTGTATATATGTATGTATGTGTTTTTGTATATATGCACACACACATAAATATGTGTGTGTATAAATAAATAACATTTTTCTTTGGAGGCCCAGAAGCACAAAACCAAGACTGAGGTGACTGTTTGCAGTCCACAAGCATAGAAGCCCACAGCTCAGCTCTGGCTTCCTGAGTCTCTTGTGGTGCAAGAAGCCACTGAGGCCACAGCTGGAGCTCTGGTTTCCCTTTTTAAAAAAAAAAAAAAAAAAATTCTCCTACAACTCACTTGGTTGGTACTTTTCATAAAATATCACCATCAGTTTGTTTTCTCTGAGGAAAGCCGTAGTAAGCAATCTATTACCAAAATACACATGAGTCGAAACAGTTGACTCTTCTGAACTCAGTCCACACAGGAAGCATCCCCCAAGAGGTTTTTTTTTTTTTTTTTTTTCTGTCCTTGCTCCCCTTCCTTTTTCATTCTAATATTAATTCTTGTTTGCTCTGTTTGGTCACATTAAGAATACTTTTAAGGTAGATAAAGGGTCTGTTACATTCTTCCTTTGGTAAAATCAGTCATGAGGTTTTATTTGGGGATGACATTGTCTTAGTTGAATGCTTTTATTCTAAATGAAATATTTTTTGTTTGTTTTTTTAAAACCTCTGACACAACCATGTTTGATCATGTTTGTGTTATTTATGAAGGTAAGAGGATCTCTCATTGATTTCATGTTTCTGTTTGGTAAGGTTTAGAGCCAGGTGTAAAATGAAGTTTACGGAGGGCATGTCCTCTTCCATTTCTGAAAAATAAATTAAACCAGTACTAGTCTAAGGGATTTTTGCTAGAACTATAGAAGACTTAACTAAGATTTAACTTTTATGTGTAGTGAAATAGCAAATAAATGGAAATATTCTAAATATAGAACATTGTTACATTAGTTCAATAAATTCTATTGACTCTGAGTATGACTTAACTAAGATTTAACTTTTATGTGTAGTGAAATAGCAAATAAATGGAAATATTCTAAATATAGATCATTGTTACATTAGTTCAATAAGTTCTATTGACTCTGAGTATGGTGATATTTTAAAACAATAATTTTGAAAATATTAGTGACATGTTAAATAAACAAATTTGTGTCCAAAAAATAGATAAAGTTTGAGCTTAGCTTTGTTAATGCTAAAGATGCATGTCTATAGCAGAAGGAATTTTTGAAGGGAAGGCACATAGCTACAGGCACACAATGGTTAAATGAAAAAAATTGAATTTAAATAGAACTGGAGTATAAATCTGTTCTTTCTGACTGTATGTGTGACTTTAGGGAAGTTAGTTTGCCTTTTGCAGCCTAGAACATTTCATGTGTAAAAGAAGGATGAATAACTATTTGGTGGTTGGTTGGATAAATAGTATGTACCAGAATCTTCACACAAAGCAATTGCTCAGTAAATGTTTAATTTACCAAAATGTTAACAATGGCTATATCTTGATAAAGTTCATGTTTTACCATTATTTTCTCTATACAATGTAAGTGAAAGTATGTATTTAATCACATAATGGTGAGAGCAGATGTGTAAGGGACCAGGAAAAAAATTGTAATAAAGTATAAATGAAAAACAACAAACAACTATAAACAGAGACATTCTGAGGTGGAGCGGGAACAGGATCAAAACTGGGGCAGGAAGAGTGCCCAGGACTATGGTGATGGCACATGGGTAAACTGGTGGTGGGAAGTCCACAGGGCTTACAGCCGAGATAAAAAAAAAAAATGTACAAAATGAAGAATGATGTAAAATATATATATGAAAATAAAAAATGCATATATCTACATAATCCATATTTCTATCATTTGCTTCCTGTCTTCATCTTTGATAAACATTGAGTCACATTTACTTGACTCAAAGAAGATAAAGAAGGCAAATAATAGTATCTCTTCCATTTAATGGCAAACATACATCCAGGAGAAATCCCACAGGGAACCATGGCCAGTGAATATCATACTTGCACTTGGACTAAGTTCTAAGTTCAATAATACTGACTGCTCCAGATTTTAAGAAGAAAACAAAATAGATTTACCATTCTTGGAACAGTATGGAAAAAGCAATCTACTAAATATGCAAAAAAAAAGACAAGGTCTTGAATTCAGAGTTTGCTTCACCATTTTCTCTCCCAGCTTTGATTTACATCTTAAGTAAAATGTCTCTGAGCTGCTGATATGCGTTGAGTTTTTAACTACTTCAGTTAAATTGCAAACACCTGTATTTGAACAGGACATGTAGTTGAGTTAATAATATTAGCATATTTTAAGAGTTAAGAAATAGTGTAGGGCTTTTTATGATATTTCAGAAACGAGCAAAACCCTGAAACAGTCCTGAATTACTGAATTACCTAAGACTCTGAGGTCAACGAAAAGCTGTCAGGCAGAAACTTAAGATTCCTTATTTTAAATCATTAAGAAGACTCAAACATACTGTACACCGTGTAACCACAGAAATATAAAATCAACTAAATTTCTCCCCCTTTTTCTCCCTTCCATAGCTTAAAGGGAGCGGACGCTGGCAATGGAATCCGGGTGTTTGTACCTGATATCGGCATGTTCATTGCCAGTCTCACCATCTGGCTCGTCTGTAGGAACATTGTTCAGAAACCAGTGACAGAAGAAGCAGCACAATATAACCCAGAGTTTGAAAATGAAGAATTGGTAAATCTGACTTCTTGCATCTTTCTTTTTTTATTTCTCAGAACCTTGGCCCTTGCTAGGTCGTGGAGCATAGTAGTAACAGCTAAGGATGTGTAACACTTCTGTTTTGTGGTGCCTGGCTTAAGGTTACCTCACTTTGCACAACCCCCTGTCCTGATGGCCAGGTTTCTCGTCGGTGGCCATGAGGAGACAAGTTCAGGAACCACCCTCTCTGAGACCATGAAGACTAGGGTCTTCTTTTCACTATACCAAATCAGCATCTAATGTTATTCTCTCCAATAGTTAACCTTTCAAATTCATGCTATTATAGTCTCAGTGCTTTACTTACTGCAAAGAAGTAACACCTGGCAGTTTAATAAAGCGCTATAGAAATGATCCCTGAAAGTGTAAGTCTTAGCACCTGGTAGTTTTAGGAGGAAAAAATTAATTGGCTCTGGAGGAAGCTCTCTGGCATATGGATCTTGCTCTTCAGAGTGGAATTGTGTTAACTTGGCAAAGTTGATTGTGTTATTTTAAAACGCTCCAGAGAAAAAAGTAATTTTCAATATTGTAAGTACTGTAAAAAGTGAGAGAATGTATAAAATTTTTGTTAATCTTTAACTACCTTTTTTATTGGAAAGATTCAGGAGTACCTGTCCCATCAGGAGATCTCAATTTTTACTCCTTGCTATTTTGAGCATGTCATAACTTGTCACACTGTCCCCTGACTGACTTTGTTGTGTTATAGTGGACCTCTTTCATCTGATTTAGGTGGCATCAATTTAAATAGTTACTGATTTTGAAATTGAAAAAATGAAACTTACAAAGAAAAAAATGTCTCAAAAGACTTAATTGAGAGATTTTACAAAAGCCATCACTACAAAATCTCATACATTAGCTTTTGCAAGAAATTAAATCTAAAAGACTGAATTTAATTTAAATTATTAATATTTAAGGTATATGTTATGATAATAACAGTAACTAGTAAGGCACCAAAGAGGAAAACTGAATTATGATAGAGGATTTATGTGCTTCATAAATAAATAACAAAATATCTTGTATACTTATTAAAAACAAATAGAAAAGAGAAAATATAATTCAGAGAAAAAAAAACCTGAATCACATTGAGTAAAAGTTTTACAATTACTCTGCAATCAATATTCTACTATATTAAGGTAAAGCATTAAAGTGGTAGTTGTTATAAAAATAATTATAAGGTAGCAAGTAACCATAATTTGCATTCAAATCTACAAATATTTGTTCATTCCCTAAAAATAGACAAACCTATGAAAGTTCTTGTCCTTCTTATCATCTTTACAATTATAAGAGAAGAAATTTAAAATTTGAGTATCTATTTTTGCATTTGAATTTTGTTTTACAATATTTGCAGTTTTGAGGATCATCTGGTTTAAATAATCAGTACCAAAAATTGTTCAAATTAATTTTTTTTGTTATTGTTGTTTATAAAGGCAAGATTGTTTTCCACTTATCCTCATATGACTGATGGAGAATGAAGGATATTTTTTTGAAAATCAAATGGACTTTAAAGTCAAAGTCGGAAAGCTACTTACTTGTGGTTGTGTGATGTTGAGAAAATTGTCTTCTCTTTTTCCATCTGCAAAATGGGGCTGGTAATAATAATACCATCACACAGAGTTGTAACACTAACTGAAATGTCAAATCAGAGCACCTAGTACAGTGGCTGCTCCTTTGTGTTCTTATTACATTGCTTTTGGGGGCCTGTTTGCTCTTCTCTGTTTGAAGGAGAGATATTTGAAACCTAAAAGCCTCATCTTAGAGTGATACAAAGTCAATTGGATGGTACATTTGAGGCCAAGCCACTCAATTAGGTTGGTTGTCAGTTGCAGACAACCATGAGTGAATTACAATGCACTACAGTTCCCATAAGAAGAACCATAATCAAGCACAAATGTTTTGACAAAGGACTAGCAGAGTCTTTAGATTGACAGAAGGCAATAGATGTTAGATTACGGTTGAAATCACACAGTTGATGTCATCTTTTGAGTTCGGCGTCCTTGGGTTCACTCTGGGAAAGGTTTCACCAGAGCTCCCCTTTCAGTGGCACATGGCGAGATTCTTCATGAGACAGAGACTCAGTTATATTTGAAGAGGAGGTTTATTAGAAAGAGACAGGAGAGGGAAAGATACCTGGATAGGTGCAAGTGGGCAGGAAGAGCTGCCCTGAAAGGGACAGGTTTGCAGGGAAAGAGACCTGCATAGTTGCAGGTGGGCTGTCTTAGGAGAGAGGCCTCCCCTGAGGGGGGTCAGTGCAGAGAAGTCCCCGCATGGTACAGGTCACTGGCAGGCAGGAGGCTGCTGCCCTGCAGAGGGAGAGAGCGGGTGCAAAGAAGCACCTGCATAGGCACAGGTGGGCAGAGGAGCGGCTGCCCCGTGCTGGTGGAGAGACTTCCTTGATATAGGCAGCTTCTCTTTGGGAGGGGTTCAGTCCTTGTGAGCCTGGGTTTGTTGACTTTGAATAGAATCTGAGAGGTCGGAGATTCCCTAGTGAGCTTCATCTCCATATCCATGTCCTTGTCTTCACCTGGGCACCAGGCATCCTGGCTTTGGTGTCCAAGGATCTTGATTTTATGGCTGTGTGATCCCTTTGTGTGGCTTAGTCTTGTGATGCCTCTTCTGCATTCCTTCCTCCATCACAGTGGTAGAGAAGAGAGCACAAAGCCATTACATGGATTCATTCTAAAATTATGGATTTTTTTGCTTGACTTCCTCAGTACTCAAAAATAAACTTGAGTATCTCCATTTAGAATTTGTTTAAATACCGGTACCCTCTATATTATTGATCACATTATTTAAAGACTAGATGGCTAGATACTTCAAACATTAGGTATTTGGAGCTTTAAAATTGTTGTTATTATAAAGTAGATTGCTTCCTCAGACTCTGTTTAAGCCTAATTTAGGTGGCAATTTTTATTCTATTAGCACATTCTAATCCACCTGGCGACCCAGGAGGAGCAAACTGGTGTGTGAATCTTCTGAGATGAATCCTCAATGAAATATTCCTTACATGTGAATAATTTGGCTTGAGTCTGAAAAGATAGAAGTACAAGGCCAAAATAAGCAAGGGAATTTATTTTATTTTTGAAGGTCCCAACATACTTCCTGCTGCTTATAAATCTTGGCTTTTGCACTCTAGAATGTTTGGTTTTTGAGGATCTTTTGAAAGAATAGTGTTTGCTGGCATTGTTTCTTCTTTCATTTATCTCAATGAAGAAATGGCAAGACTAATCCCCTGGTGCCTGGGAGAAATTCCTTTTCAAACCCAGCATTGTCTTAAAGTAGCAACTAATCCCTAGAGAGGAGTTCTCTGTAAGCTTCAATGACTTGATGATGAGCCTCAAATTGACTGTTTTAAAGGGTATCACAAATCTAGATATTCCCCTAAAGATCCTTAGGGGAACCAGAGTCTAGCTCTGGGAGAAGACTGTCTTGTCTGTGTTTTCAGGAAAACAGCTTCCTCCAGTTGTTCCTCAGCTGACACATCTAGGAATTTGTTTATTTGTTCAGTTTAACTTAGAAGCTGATCAACAAATCATCACTGGAAGAAATACTCCTATATTTAATGTGAAAAAAATGAGTTGATATGAAATTTGCATAGAAAAGCATTACACATGCAATAAATTATTATGAAATATTACAAACTGAAAGCATCTTGTTCTGATATCATTTCCTTATGCTTCTAACTATTTCATGAGCTTTGAAATCTTATTTTTGAAGCATATGTTTAAAAAACCACTAACTCATATTCATGTCAAAGTAAATATTTTAGAAAGAAATTTTAATCAGGACTTGGCTAAAGAGACATCTTAATAGTTGAACAAATCAAGTATGAAAGATAAAGAATATTTCAGCATAAGGCATCTCCCCATCTGCTAAAATTTCATGGATGAGATGTTTAGATGCTGGTAATGTTATTTGGAAGTACATGGTGAATCTAAAAAAAAAAAAAACTGTATTTTCTAAAATCTAATGCCCATTAGGCTACTATGGCATCTGCATTCTGGCACATAAAATGTCCATCTGGACATTTTCAAGTTTTTGCTTTGAGACTTGAGTTATTCTTTTATGAATAACAAGAAATGTAGACTGGAAGAAATGAACCACTTAGCCACCTTTTCATTACACATCTCACTTGAGATTTAGTCCAGTCACCTGCTTTAGATTTTCTAGATCATAGTCTTTTAAGCAAGCAGACACGAACCATTCAGAGTGGTAAAAGAGGAACAGGTACCCAGTTACCCTGCACTTGAGTCTTTTGCTGCTTGTCCAGGTCACCTTAAGCAACACTGTAATGTCCCTCAAACTTCAGCTCACTTTTTCTTAAATTCCAGTGCTTCCAGATGTATTAGTTTAAATAAAAGGGAATGTTTTTTAACTGTAGGAAAGTATCTTTAGGAAATCTTCAAAATGAGATATGGATCATAGAAACTATTAAAGTTTAGAACATAACTAACGGGCTCTCCCTGGTCACTCAATGGGTTAGGACGCAGCACTGAAAGCCAAGCAGCTGCTTCAATGCCAGTTCGATCCCCCTCCCTGGAGGTGATCCACATAGTGTGGCAGACCTCTCCTGACCGGCCCACTGCTCCCCTCAGCAGTGTACTTTGTCAGTCTGCCTGTTCTGGTCCGCACACTGTCTCTGGTGAAGCCTCTCACTGCTCCTGCTCCTCTGGCTTATACCCTAGTTCTGTATGTATAAATAAATAAATCTTAAAAAAAAAAAGAAAATGAAAGAAAAGAAATAATTAAAAAAAAAAATGACTAACTTTTCCCTCCCCAGACCCTCAGGGTGATCCAGCCTCCTCACTGAAAAACAGGTGAGAGCCTGGACACCTGCTTCTCCTCTCCTCCAACATGAACACATATGTGGCAGTGTTGCCAAGCAGGGAGAGGGCAACCCCAGAACCCCCAAACTGGCCCTCTCTAGAGATTCTGCAATATCGCAAAACATACTCTAATGTAGAAGAACTTCTATACAATTA